TTAAACCAAAGGGGCCTCTGTTGACTTGCTTTTGTCTATGAGTAACTCACTTAATCTAGAACTGGCTACGACTACAATCATGCTGTGGGCTCTGGAGTGTTTGCCAAAAATCCAGTTTACAAATTGTTTTCAAATATAGTGACATTTGTATGGGTACTAACATTATCAAATACTGAAGTTGACATGTTATTTTCTTTAAACATTTGTTAGTTTCTATTTTTTTCCTCATTTTACAGCCTTCAAAGTTCTAGTTCCATAGCTTTTCTTGAGCCTTTGAAGGTCTGCATCCACAGACAGAGGTCTTTCCTGGGTCACCCCAACTCTAGGCACTGCAGAAGGCCTTGTGGCTTCTCCCCGCAGAGACCACCTACCCCAGGTCGTTGACCAGGCAATGTCAAGCTGAACGACTTTACTCCCATTTAGAAAACAAAGTGGGTCATTGAACATTAGGTGTGAGTTAATGTTTAGAATTCTATTGGACTTTCCTTGAGTAAATTCACCCATGAGGCAATAGGATTTGGATGAGCACAAGGAGTGTCCCCACCTACTCCACTCCAGTTCCCCAGGAGGGGGCGCCCAGAGAGCAGCCCAGGTCACTGGCCCTTTGAATAGGTTTTATGATTGCAGTGCTTAGGTGTAGACTTCACTCTGGGTCAGCCCTAGGGTCACAAGGAGGGAGGTTCTTGTCCTGTTTGCATGGACTGTTTTGGGCATTTTAAAGCACTGATTTTAAAAGCCAGCACCAACCATTCCCCTACACTGCAATCAAGAGGCAGTTCCTGTCCCGGCCAGGACTGCATGAGTTCAAGGGCAGTCTTTGCAGGGTGGTAAGGGGCTGCCTCCCTCAGAAGGGGTCCACAGTCATCTCCCAAGTAAATCCCGGGGAGGGGCTGGCAGGGGGGCTATAGGAGAGGTCTGGCAAGGCAGAGCAAGGAAAGGCTTTCACTTCATTCTAGCAAGTGAAATGGACATCTTAATGAAACACAAAAAGTAAGAACCTAGAGACAGATAGTGGGGTTCAAGCTGATGGTCCAGAGAAGCGTAGCAGCCAGCCACTAGCTCTTACCTCTACCTCAGACTGAAAGGGTGCTCCTGTCTCCACAAATCCTCAGAGTGCAATGCCCTCTCGCCACAAATCCTCAGAGACAATAGCTCTCCCTGTCTGGAAACTAAATCTGCTCATGAGACCCTTTGCTCCTTCCTTTTCTACCTCCCTAGTGCTGGGATGAAAGGCCTGGGATCCCAAGTGCTGAGATCAAGGGTATGAGCTCTGTTATTCTTCACTCTTGTGTAGCCCAGGGTGGCCTTGAACTCAGATCTGTTTGTCTGTCTCCTGGGTCTGGGGATTAAAGGTTATGTATTACCACTGCCTGACTCTATGGCTTGTGGTTAGCTTTGCATTCTGAACTCTCAGGCAAGCTTTAATAAATCATAAATAATATATCACCTCCATTACCCTTTTTCGTCTAATACAAAAAGAAGGCAACAGCTAACATAAGAAAAACTATATACAATAAGTACAACAACTATATACAATGTATACAGGCAGTAAGTACATCAACAATGTCTAGTTCATTTGCATTTGACAAGTTCAGAAAAAATACTCCATTATCTAAAATTTATGTCCAGTCCATTTGCATTTGACAAATTCAGAGAGAATACTCCATTATCTATCCTATCTTGGTGAGTCCAAAGTCTTGTACCTAATTGCTTTCTATTCTAATTCGCATCTTAACCTGGTAAGTCTATCTTATGGGCATGTAGAATCTCAAACCTTGTGCAAACCAAAGCTAAAGTTTACCAAAATCTTACCTAATGCTTTCAATCCAATGATGGGAAGAACCCAGCATGAGGAAAGCACTATGAATAAGAATCCATAAGCACAGAGAAGGAAGCATCTTGCCCATGGTCACAGGGACCAGCAGTACAGCTAAAGCCCGTGTGTTATGGCTCCATAGTGCATAGCCGGTCACGCACCCCAGGCTGACTTACTACTGTCTTTTTGATTAAATGTACACATACGCACATGCCACGGTGTGCACACATGCCATAGTGCATGTTGCTGGAGGACAATTTTCAAGAATCAGCTTTCCCTTTCCACAAGGATCCACCCAGTGTGTCAGGCTTGGCAGCAAGTGTCGTTACCTGCTGAGCCATTTCACAAGCCCAGGTCTAGTTATTATGGTAAATCATGGGGCAAGGCACAGCAATGAGAATCAACATTTATATATTATTTTAACGAAATGTTAAAGATGTGTTAATAATTTTAAAAGCAAATTTATTTATAATAGAATCTTGACTGAAAAAAAAAACACTTGAATTTACCATGTGGTGGCACACACTTATGACCCCAGCACTAGGAAAGCTGTGTAAAATGATCAAGAATTAAAGGCCAAGCCAGTGGTGCACGCCTTTAATCCCAGCACTCAGGTGACAGAGGCAGGAGGATCTCTGAGTTCAAGACCAGCCTGGTCTACAGAGTGAGTTCCAGGACAGCCTTCAAAGCCACAAAGAAACCCTGTCTCGAAAAACCAAAAGATAAATAAAATAAATAAGATTATAAATAAAAAAGTGGGAATGGCAAGATGACTCAGTAAATGGTTGCTGGTACCCCTGACAACCTCAGCTCCATTTCCAGGACTCACATGGAGGAAGAGGAGAACCAAACTGAACGATACAGACACTCCATGACAAGTATACATGCACACGCATGCGCATACACACACACACAAATAAATGCAACAAAAAAATTTGAATCAGATGCAGCCCTAGGAGGCAGAAACAGGCAGATCTCTATGAGTTTGGGGCCAGCCTGGTCTACAAAGTAAGTTCCAAGACAGGCTCCAAAGCTACTCAAAGAAACCCTGTCTCGGAAAAAAAATTTTTTTGAAGAAAATAAATATGTAAAATATATTCATGCATACATATAGCTCAAGTGTGCACATTATAAGCAAACTCTTGGTAAAATTGGTAGGTAAGGATAGGATTTGTACTTCCTATTTTCCTGTATCTTCAAAGTTTTTTTTCTACTCAGGCATTTTGTTTATATGTGTTTTTGTTTTATGCCCCTAGAAAAAGAACCGCGGGGTCTTCCCTCCTGTGTATTTTCATCTCAATTTTTCATGCTTCATGCTGCCACCCGAGGCTCCCAAGTCAACGGGGTGGGAGTGGATTATTCTCCCCGTTTTACCTTGGTCTCCAAGCTGCATGTCACATTTGGGGCTGACCATGCCACACTTGTTTGGCCTAGCAGTGAGGCTCACTTTCCCCGCTCTGTAATCAACAATGACTGCCAGCAAAGCCATGCTTCGTCCTCAGGTGGGAACCAGGCTAAGGATGGGTGTGCATCTCTTAGCATTGTTTGCACTCCTGAGAGCTCCAGCCAGGAAATTCATGTGTCCCATATGGCAGTGCAGAAAGTTTTCTTTTTAGCTGGCAAAGCCTTCCTTACCTTTTACAGATTAGTTGCTCCTGGGCTGCATGTGCAACTCACTAACCTAGTATATGAAACGTCGGCGTTCTATCACTGGCATCGCAAAATCAAATTTAAAAAAAAGGAAAAAGATTCACTCTTGATAAATGCTTGAAAGTTCTGCAAAAAAGAAGACCAAAGTCCAGTTGATATGAAACTGGAGCGGCTGCTAAGAAACAGTGATGTACTGGGAAACGCTGGGCAGGAAGATGAAAGGGAGGATTTGACTTAATGACAATTCAGGGAATGAATACGGAAGTCCTCAGTGCGGTGTGGGACAGGCAGTGCTGGCCTTCAAGGGATGTAGTAAGTACATCTACTAATTCTGCTTGCCTGGTTTCCAAGTTAGCCCCCCTCACCCTTGAAAAGCATTGTTTTGGGGGAGTGCAGACCAGGCCCAGTGAGGCGTGGAGACCCTAGACTGTCTCCAATCTGTTGCTACCTCCAGAGCCCATTTTTCTAAGCAGAAATCAGTCTGGGTGTTTGCTTGTTTTTGTTTTTTGGTGTGGCTGTTTTTGTGTATAGCCTTCAGCTCATGCTCTAGCTCCAGAATGACTAAAATGGATTGGCTGGGAGTCAGTGGGAGTCAGGAGGGGAAGTAGAGCTGCTTCGGGTCTCTGGGGCACCTGCTGCAGTCTGAGGCCAGACGCAGATGGGCCCTCCTACCTGCGGGGTGTCAGGGGTTAGGGAGTGGGGGCTGCTGTCAGCCTCCATGGGCTCCCAGCCAAGCCCTCCATCACACAGGCTTGCAATTCGGAGGCAGGAGGCTCCTAGTCCCTCTCCACCCAACAGCGGCTGTGGCGAGTGTCTGTTGCCTATGCAGGAAGTACCCTGGGTTGTCCAGGGCCTGTCTACTTCCCTTCTTTACAGGCACAGCAGAGTCTCGCCACTTCAGTGGCAAAGAGGTGCGCTGCAAACTGCACCACAGACTTGGGGTGGAAAGTGAATTGTAGAGACGAATTCAAATACAAGCAGCTCCAGCTCCTTGCAACACAATCTGACAGTGATGTCTGTCACCACACCTGCCACCTTTGTGTCAGAATCCCCAAGGGAGAGATCTGGAAAGAGTATTTTAGACAGGCTACCCAGAAGGCCCCACAATTTTGAAACCACAGGCCTCAGCAGGCATGAGGGACATATGTTCCCTCCTACCATGCTGTCCTAAGAGGCTGCACAAGGTGGAAGGGTGCCATCCCTCCAAGCTGTGTGACAAGGACACACCATGGACCTGGAGGCACAAGTCCCCTTCAGAAGGAGCAAACTGGACGAGGGCTCGGTAGGCATCTCCTCTCCCACAGATAACCCAGTCAGTGTACAGATGCACTAACCCACTTCATCCAAGCCATGCGTGCACCTCAGAATGGGTTGTACCTCATGGCTGTGACAGCGCCCACCCGTGATCCAAGCACTCAGAAGTGTTGGCAGGACCACAACCAGCCTTCGAGACACAGAGGCCCACACTGTGCTCCACCCAGACTGCCTTGCCACTCACCACCCTTTCTCTCCCAAGAGACCTTCGCACGCCTCATTACTTAAATAGTCTTTATTTCTCATGCACTAGGAAAATGGGTCATATGAAACACTATTCTTCATAGCAAAGGCCTTGGTCTAGAACTTAACACAAGAGGCTAACTGGGATCTGGATCTGGCCAAAGACCTGGAAACCCTCAAAGGTGGTGCCACCCCCAGGGCTAATGGCAGACCCAGTATCTTCCAACTGCAGCAGCCTCCAACTACAGACACAGATCAGGGCAGCTGCGCCCTCCCACAGGGGGATAAGGGAGCTGGTAACAAAGGGACATTTGGACTGGGGAGGACCAGAGGAGGCTGATGGGCAGTGACTTGGCAGGGACATGTCCAGCCCCTGAGCAGGCCTCCCGGGCCATGAGCAAACCCAAGCCCTGCTCTGCCTAGCACAGATGGGTCACAACTTCACAGACGCTGAGCAGTCAGTGCCATGACAGAGGGATAATGAGCCCCTCCTGACTGCCCCAGGACCACATAAACAAGGGGGGAACTCAACTTGAACTCTAGCCAAAGCCTGGATTCGCCGAGGTAGGGCTCCAGAGGCTAACGGGGTCAGTCCCACACAACTATCCCAAGCCCCTGTGGACACTGAAGACACCACAGGACAGCCAGACCTCTGACAATCCTGGGACGGGTCACTAGCAGGGCCAGCCCTTAGATCTCAGCCATCAGGGACCACCTGAGCCAAGACAAGAGTGACGCAGATTCCGGGACTTGCTCTCACTGAGGAGGCCTAGAGGCAAGACATGGTCAAAGACATGCAGGACAGAAACAGAGACAGCGACATGCAGAGACCACAGCAGGTGGAGGGGTCCAATCAGAGACACGATCAAGTTGCTGAGATGGACAAGCACTGCATGAACTTGGTTCACTAAGGCCCTGGGCTCATGACAAGGCCCACTTCCTCTGGGATGGTCTCCAGCATCTCACTCTGGACGGCCTGTGTGATAAGCGCCAGCTCCTGGCACAGGGTCTCATGGCGGTAGCCCACTCGGATGTCTGGCACATTGGTGCGGCGGATGTCATTGCCCTCGGGGCCCTCCTTGGTATAGTTGGGTCCCAGCCAGTGGCTTTTTACCTACAGAGGGTATTGGTAACAGGCAGAGCTGCAGGGAGATCCAACCCTCACAGGGACAAGGTCAGGATCCCAAAAGCAAAGGGAGGCAAAGCGGTGGTGCCCAGCCCCAGGCAGGCTGAGCATCATACCTTGTGGGAGAAGCCACTCATGAGCACACTGTTACGGGCCAGTTCACACATGTCACAGGAGCTGAGCTTCCACACCTGAGTGGCAATGCTGTACTCCTCCATCAGGGGTTCCTGCACAGGCCAGGTTCCTTGAGAGAGGCATCAGGCCCCTGAAGTCCCTCCCTCCTTAAGGGCTGAGCTAAGTGTTGCTATGCTCCACCAGCAAAGACCCGGAGGCAGCCCACAATCCCCTGGACGCCTGCCCTCGGCTGCCTGCTGGGCTGGGTCTGACCTTGGTGAAGTGGAACTGCAGGGGGTCATCTGTGGACAGGGAGACCATGAGGCCACGGGACAAGTACTCAGGGAGAGGGTTCCGGTGGTAGCTGAGGAACAGGCTGTTGTTGCTGAGCGGGGACATGGCAATGCCGATCTGAGCCAGGTAATACAGGTACTGCAGGACCGGGGCCTGGACAGGGAGGAGGGGTGGAGGACTCGTCAGGGGGCCTCAATGCTGGGAGGGCATACTGCTTCTGGGGCACGGGGAAGGGGGCTCCAGGCTAGGTGTCACAGAAGAACGGTGAATCCAAGCTGGGTTCCTCCACTAGAGGATGGGTGGGAAGAGCTAATTATACTGGGAAGGAGGAATCTGATCTCACGGCTGGGTGAGGAGGAGGATCAGGAAGGCAAACAGCTGCTTGTGGAGGCTGGGGGTGTAGACCCTGACCTTGCGAAGAAGCAGCCCGTGGGAGATGTTCTCGGCCAGCATGAAGGCTGACACCAGGTGGTGGATGGGCCCAGCCTCCCCGCAGTGCGGCCTCAGCACAAACGTATGGAAGCCCCTCTGCCTGAGGGGCGTGAAGACAGAGTCAGCTCCAGAGCCTGGGCACATGTAAGCTCACCTGACTCCAGCTCCCACACCAGCAGCCCTCCAGCTAGTGACTATGGGGGCCTAGGATGAAGGGCGGGGCAGATGCTTGACTGGAAAGATGAGAAATGAAACCTAAGGGCAGAGAAAGAGCTGGACACGGGAGCAACGTGTGAGCCGGGGTAGTAGCGCCCTCAGCTCAGGGTGCTCAAAGCAAGGCAAGCAGAGCACCGGCACCCCTAGGACGAGCACCTGCGCAGGTGGTTCAGCATGGCCATGTTAGCGAAGGTGTAATACAGGTAGTAGGCGTAGGGTGGGTTGTCCTCCTCCACCCAAGCTTCCGGGAGGGGACTCTCCAGGTTGAAGACATGGTTCTCTGGCTTGGACTCATCATCCACACTGTCAAAACCATCCACCTGGCAGAGGGTCGTTGGTCAGCCCTGGAGCCACAGCCAGGTCTGAGCCCAGCTAGCCTGCCCTCGCCCAGCCCATGCCAGCTCACGTGCTCCAGAAAGAGGTGCAGCTCTGGGTGGCTGGCAGGGTGCACTGTAGCCTCAAACAGTGGCAGAAAGATGTTCTCCAGCATCTCTTGGAAGTTGGCCAGCTGGCCCTTGGTGCGGTACACGTCACTGCAGGGAAGACAGGGCACAAGCATATGCAGGGCCAGCAGCAGGCCAGTAAGAGTCAGAGCTGTCATGAGAAGCACCAGGGCGTGTTTGAACCACAGTAGGAAAGTGGGACATCCAGAAAGACCAGGCTGGACAGACTGCAGGTTGGCCTGGGAGGCCCTTCCTGGCACTCAAGAATGCCTAGCTTGGATACTGAAGGCTTAGCCATCCCAGCAGAACAGGAAGCAGGCCCTGCCCCCTTGTACACAGCCCTGGAGCTTCCGCCCACTCTAAGGGACACTCACAAGAGGCGGGGCACCTGCACCAGCCAGCGCACATTGGGAGAGTGCACTTTGTGCCCCACGGCCCAGCGTGCCAGCTTGTCCCACTCGTCCCTCGAACGCCCGTAGATGGACAGCCGGAGCTCTGCGTTCTGGTATTTGCTCTCCTCCAGGTCTGACATCACCTCCTAGACACCAGAAGCAATCACATCTAGGTTCTTCCTGCCCGCGTACCCACCACATATGCTCGTCAAGGCTCTCACCTCCCTCCGCCTGTCACTGGAACCCTCTTACACATGGGCTCTAGCTCCGCAGGGGAGAGCGGCCTCCATACCTTGATGATGTGAGCAAAGTACTTCCCAGAAATCTTGTTGTCGGTTTTGATGAAGATCTCTCGGAGGACAGATTCCCCGATAGGGTTGTATTTGGCATTGAACTTGTCAAATCGGTGAAAGGTATTCCTGTCCTGGAGGAGATGGGAAGGCCTAGGTCACGCTCCTGACCCCTGGCCCTAGCGCTGACCCAACCCCCCAGCCCATCCCATGGGACAGACCGCGTGCACATCAAGTGTGTCCACACTTAAGTCATAGGCAGTGAGATTCATGCTCTCGAAGACCTCTCGCAGCGTCTGCTCGCGGCCCTGCTCAACATGCACAATCTCCTCCAGATGTCGCTTCATTGCCCGCTTGATGAAGCGCAGCAGGTGCTTCTGGTTCATGCAGGATGAGGCATGGATGTGCGTGTCCACCTGCAGTGGAGAAGGACTGCTGGGCCCACCAAAGGCTCGGGTCGTGGGACTTCAGCCAGCAAGGGTTGGTTTCTTATACAAACATGAGGACTACAGTCGCCATCCCCTGAACCCACGTAAATGTCAGGCATATGCAGCAGCTTACCTAAAATCTTAACATGAGAAAGGCAGAGGCAAGGAACACAAAAAATAAGCTGTCTAGCTAGACTAGCTGAAGCAACAGACTCTGGGTTCAAGTGAGAAACTCTGTCTTAATATATAAGGTAGAAAATACCTAATGTCAGCGTTGGCCTCCCCACCACACATGGATAAGCTTGCAGTATGCAAGCACACATGTGCATGCACACACACACACACACACACACACAATGTGACCACATAGTCACAGACATGCATATACACATGCACACATACCACATGCACATACAAATGCTAAGTTGGGGAGACATGGCCCAGCAGGTGAAGGCATCTGCCACCAAGAGTCAATTCCCAGGACCCCACATGGTGGAAGAGGAGACCTGACTCCTGGGGATCTTTCCTCTGCTCTACACGCCTAAACTCATATATATACACAAGTCACATAATTTAAGTGTAGTCATTTTTTAAAGGAGAGGGCTCTCCATATTTATTGAGTGCTGGGGGAGACCCCGGCTTTGGAAGGGAGATATGGATCAGGGCACAGAGGCCACAGGCCAAGGGCCCACCTTACGGATATTGTAGAAGTCCCGGTGTGGCACTTTCTTCTGAGCTGCCAGCTCCTTCATCTCATTGAGCAGGACATGCATCTGGAATTTGGAGCTCAGGTACTGTAGTCGGCGGTAGCAGAATGACTTTCTGGGCAAGAAGAAAGAGGAGAGAGACTTAGATCCCGATGGAGGAGGTTCCTAGGCAGGAGGCAGGAGCACACAGAACAAGGGAGTAGGTGACTAGGGAGTGGTAGGAGACAGAGTGACAGTTGCCTGGGGCAGGGCGGGCGGGGCGGGGCAGAACTGGGGATGGAGAGTCTGGGCTGTGAAGCAGCTCAAAGGGACAGGTGGAATCTTACATGGGGCCATTGATAATCAGGGCCATCAGCACATTGACGTCAGCTACAAATTCCTGCAGGTCAGGGTACGGAAGCTCCACCTCCGGACAGCTAGCGTGCAGGAAGCTCAGGTGAGGAGAGCCAGCCAAGTCCTCTGGCCCCCTCCCAAGCCAATGCATTATTCTATATGGGGTACCCCAACACACACCACACCCCTCTTACTGCTCATCAGGGTCCCTGCGGGTGTAGACATGCACCACACCACGCACCATGCGCAGACCCAAGCCCAGGTCCCCAGGCATGGTGCTTGGCTCACAGTGCTCATATGGGTGCTGCTCCAACGCAGGGGGGTGCACTGGGGCATCTGCAAAGGGGAAGGGAAGAGCCAGAGTCAGGCCTGCAGCTGCCCAATCTACGGGCTCCACAGAGGACCAGGTATGTCAAAAAAAGAGCAGCTATGGCCCCACCCTCCCCCCTCCTGATGTCAAGAAGCTAGAAAGAGCCTGGGTGAGGGGAGACGCAGGCAAGGCACAAGTGCCTAGGCTCCAAGCCTAGATACCCAGGGAAGTTGGGGTTTGGGGAGGGATGGGAGCTCCCACCAGCAGACACAGGGGTATCGGGGCTCTGCTCATAGGTTCGAGTCTCCAGGGGCTTCTCAGCCAGCTGCTGCAGGTAACGGCGGGTGGTGGGGCAGAAGCTCTGCAGGGACAGGGCCATGTACTTCTCCCGGATGAAAAGGGCCCGCACTACGCTTTTGGCTGCGTCTAACAGGTCTGTGAATGGCACCTGAAGACATGGACAAGCAGTCATTTTCTTTGGTCTCTGTCCACACTCAGGTTCATACTCACCCTGTGGCCATCCCCTAACCTCAGACTGCCCACCCCCAACTCCAAAGGCTGCAAACCCAGTCCTGTCTAGTCCCAGCTTATCAGTGAGCCCAGCACCTCTGCTACTCCAGGCACCAGAAGAGAATTCCCTCTCTAGCTCCCACCAGTTCCCCAGGCCAGGACTCTCTGGCTTCACCCTACACTCACCCCACACTTCTCCTCCCCAGAGATGATGACCCGCTGGAATTCCCGTTCCAGTACCACGTCACGCTCCCAAAGACCCCTGTCACCCTGTCCCTCTCCTTGCTCCTTGTAGAGCCTACAGGAAAGGGAGACAAACAAGGATTGGAGACAGCCTCGGCACAGCCCCCAGCTCCACAGGCCCTGAGCACGTCCCCTTCCCCTCCTCACTGTAAGTCCGAGTCACTGTCTGTCTTCAGGAAGTCTTGCTTGGCCCGAAGCAGAATATCTGGCTCCAGCCTAGAGGTGAGAGGAGCAAAGGTCTCGTACAGGAAGAGCAGTGGCTGCGGCAAGCGGGTCCCAGCACCGTGCCAGCTGCTGCGCACAAATCGTCATGTGTGGGCCTCACGGGCCGGGCTGCGGGCCCTGGGATGTTCTCAGCCCACTTCAGAGATGAGAAAGCAATCCCAGAAGGAAGTTTATACAGTAGACTCCTAAGCCTCCCAGAAGATAGAACCAGCAGTGGCCTGGTTCCAAAGAATGTGCTCTATGCGGCCTCCCGGGTGGACCTTAGAGACAAAGGAACAGGGAAGGGGCAGCAGCAGGCTCACTTGACATCTTGGCTGATCTGCCTTTCCAGCCGCTGCCTCCGCTCCTCTAGCTGCTCGATGGGGCTTGCCTCTGGGAACTCATAAGGGGCACTGCGGAGCTCACTCTCGGCCAGTGAGCGGCTGAACAACTCCTGGTACCAAGCAGGGAAGGAGGAAAGGTCAGGAAGCCATGCTTTCAAGCCCTCTGCCTCCCTCCCCTGCAGAGCCTGGGCAAGGGGTGTGGGCAGGAGCCGGGTTCCTGGGAAAACTTAGGATCAGGGATAGCCAGGCATGAGCTGAGAGGTGCTGAGGCAGAGGGTATAGCGACAGAGGTAGTCTGAGGTGAGGAGGTGTGGGGTGCCAGGTGTACCTCTGCGATCTCCTTGCATTTGCCATCCATAGAGGTGCGAAGGTCGAGCGGGAAGTGCTTGAGGCAGGGGGCAGTGCCCGGCAGGGATCGGGCAGACTGCAGCGCAGAGGCCCCTAGACTACCCCGAGCCTCTGCAGAGACAGTGATGACAGGGTCAAGGGGAGGAGGGGCAGGACCTGGATGCCTCTAGAAGCCAAGAGCCCCTTCCTACCCTGGGGCCAGAACCTATTAAAAGCTAGGGCCTAGACACTGGGCAGTACTTCTACTGAGACAGAAGAGCCAGCCATGTGGGGCTCCCAAGGGAACTCATCCCCAAACTCAGGGATGAGGTCCTGTGCCCGCCTGTGGAGCAAATGAATCAACTCTGCAATCAGAACTTGAGGTGGGGGTGGCCCACTCCTTTAGATCAAGAGAATCTATCTGCACATGACTATTTTACAGAAAGGGTGCACATGTGCGCACACACAGGCACACACACACACATACACACACACACACACACACACACACACACACACACACACACACACACACGGCACCACTCATTTGGGATCAGTGGCCACACTAAGGACCATCAGCTTCTAGGGCATAATCCAGGGTCAGATCTGCTCCTGACCTAACAGGTCCTTCCCTGAGAACAGAACAGTAGTCTACTCTCCTAAACATGCAAGGCAGAGCCAAAGTACAGTAGTCACTCAGCTCTGACCTAAGCAACTATCAAGGAAGAGGACCTGGTTGGCAAGGAGTCCTCTCTCCCCCTGGAGGCCTGTCCTCTCCCCAGGTCCCCAGAGCTGCCAGAATGAGAGCTGATCCTAGGCTACCCTTCCCACTGCTGGCTGCCCCTCTGAAAGGAGCTACCACAGTCTACATCACTTGGAAGCCCTAGGATCTGGGCTGGAGGCCCCATGAAAGGGAGAATTAGAAGCCAGGGGTCTTTCTACATCAACAAGGGCAGAACACCTCTGCATGGGCCCCACCACGAGGCTGATACTGAAGGTCTGAAGCTGCTCATCTCCTGGACTGCCTAAGCTCCCAGGCCACCAGGAAGGACCCTTCTCGGGTCCTTCAACAGTCTCAGCCTCCTCCTGCAGAAAGCTGTCCACAGACCATCTGGTTCTCCCAGCCAGCTGTAAAAGATGCAGCCCCCCAGGAACCCCCCCCACTGTCTTAGAAAAGGATGCAGGCTCTGTCTAGGCATTCTGCCTTAAGGTCTCGTACCTACCACTTCTAGTGCTCCAGGCACAGTACCAAAGCTGGACAAAGAAAAAGGTGCTTCACCTAGATCAGGGTCCAGCTGCCAACTTGCCCTGGTCTCTACTGGAACCCTACCTGCAGAGTTCAAGAGTGCTCTGGTCAGCAGCCCTGTGCCCCTTGCCTGTTTGTTTGCCTTGTGAAGCTGCAGCCAGTCCCCCAGGACAGCTCAGGGGCTGGCATGGGTTGTACCAAGTGCAGCTATAAGCAGGGGAGACCCTGGGATGGCCCCAAGTAGGGGGCTGGGAGAGTTCAGGGGAGTTTAGAAACCCAGAGAAGGAGCAGGAGTTGGGAGATGAGAAGAACTCTAATTCTAACAGGGACCTTAACCTCTTCAGCGCCAGTGACGCCCACCTAGATCCAGGGATCTCTACAGGGAGAAAGAAGACAGGCTGAGATGGTCAAGGCAGCCTGGAAGGGAGGGGCCTAGTCTCCTTAAAACCACAGCCCTAGGGGACAGAAAGTGGACACAGCCTGGCTGGCCAAAGGGTAGGAGAGACAGGGAGACCAGCCACGCTCCCGAGCATCAGGCCTCTGGGCAGCTTCCTCTGTCCACCACTGTCTTTTGGGCCCTGACTACACTATGGACTCTTGAGAGATAAGGCCTTGGCTACATGCAGAGGCTGGCTGGTAGTCGGGCCACTGGCCTAATCTGGGTAGGAGCTAGTTACAGAGGCTTCTTAGTCTACAAGCTAGTCCCAAGTCCATCGTCAGGGTAGGGGCAAGCTATTCAGGAAGAGTACCTTGGAACATGGGAGCAGCATGTAGAAGACACACAGGGCTCCACTTTTGTTTATTTGCTTGTCTTAACCTCTGGACACGGGCTATAAATGGGTGAGAAGTGGCCTTGTCCTATCTGGCCACAGCCCCGGACTCACAGGGGAATGACCTACAAGAGTTCTGTAAAGCTTAGGGCTCTGAGCTCATGGGGCTGCAATCAGAATTTCTTGCGATCCTCCAAACACTTAAATGGAGACCCTTAGGTGAGGAGGGCGAGAGGCCCTCTGAATCCTGTGCAGGGGCAAGGCTGCTAAGTAGGGGACAGCAGAGAAGAGAAAGGAATATTGCAGGGGTGAAGAGGCTCTCCCTTACTAGAGAGCAGAACTGGAGGAAGAGGCAAAGATCAACACCTACCCACCCAACCCAGGGCTTCAAGTCTCTGATTATCAAGAACCTGCATCAGAGGCCGGGCAGTGGTGGCATAGGCCTTTAATCGCAGCACTTGGGAGGCAGAGGCAGGAGATCTCTGTGTTCGAAGCCAGTCTGGTCTACAGAGCAAGTTCCAGGACAGTCAAGGCCACACAAACAAACAAACAAACAACCCTGACCTACCTATCCTCTTAAAGACAGCTCCAGACCATTTGGGGGTTTTGTTTTCTGTCTTCTGCACTCCTGGGACGGCCTGAGGCCTTGTGTGTGCTAAGGAAGTCCTCTACTACTGAGCTATCCTCCCCCTTTCCTAGTTTTACTTCCAGGCAGGACCTTACTAAGTGTCCAAGCATACCTGGAACTCATAATCCTCCTGCCTCAGCTAATTACAAGTGTGCATCACTACCCCCAGCCACCAACGCTTCTAAGTCCCTGAAGGCCGACCACAGAGCTGCAGAAAAGAAGTCAAAAGCTCTCAATTTAAACCCTTTCCTCTCAAGGAAACGCTGGGCCTACAGAGCAGTGCTGGGTGAGCAGGAAGGGTTCCAGCAGCCACAGTCTGCCACACAACTGCTAGATTTACCAGAGGTGACACACCAGCAACAACTTCCATACTCCCTCAGGCCAAGGCCCGTCTCCCTGGCCCAGTGCCAAAGGCTGGCATCACAACAGCATATAAACAGCCCAAAGCCAAGGGGGATCACCCCCATCAGTTCCAAGATTCTGGTGGACTAGCAGCCCCCTCACTCATTATCAAGACTGCCTCATTAGGCCTTGACCCCAGGGACAAGATGCTCTCGGGGTCTAACCATCTCAGGGTCTCCGGCTCAGCAACAGAGTAACCAGCACAGAGCTAGTCCCAGTGCATACACCTAGAAGACTCAGATCTCACACCTCAGCACAGCACAAAGCCCTAGCCAGGCATTTTCGGCAGCATAAAAACAAGCTAGAGGAGGGCAGTCATGGTGTAAACAGAGCTATGACGGGTTAAGAACATCCAGTCACCGAAAGGGCTTTCTTTAGTCAGAACACTTGAGAGCTGCAGTCACCCACCCCCGTGGAAGCACAAACTCAAGGAGCTAAGTCCTCACCAGAATGGACACTCACCACCACACAACCGGCTGCAAATGGTACAGAGATGATGCCCACCTAGTCGGAGCCAAACCCAAGGGTGCAAGGTACACAACCCACCAGCCATCTCAAGGACTCGCCACTCTCCTGAAGAGACTCATAACACAGACCAGGAACAGGCAAACAGCAAGGATGGCGGCAACTGAGCCCAAGCTCTGGTCTATGTGCCAGCAATGCCTGACCCCAGACGTCAAACCCCACTACCCTCACCCACCCATGAGGGAGTTCTAGATCTAGGGTCTCAGAAAGAGTAAGAACCTGAGCCTGCCTGGTGTAAGCACCGGCACCCAACAGGGTAGCCCGTCTGCAGAGCAGCCGTCAGTCCCACACCCTCCCTACTCCATTCACTTAGAATTCACACAGTCTCTGCATCCGCACAAGCAGACACGTGTGCATATACGCCTCTTCTGCACCCACATGACACCCACTCCTTGTTACAGAGGGCAGCATCCCTGACACCAAACCTCAACACACCCCCCACCTCCCTCCCTGCGCCACCCAAACCAGTCAGTCAGCTCTGGAACCGAGGTAGAGAGGCATCATTGCAGAGAGGGTGCTGAAGAACGGGTCCCCTCTCTGAGGCACTAGGTGGTCTGGACAGGAGGTGGAGGAGACCCATGCCTGAAGCCAAGAACACTTACCTGGAGCAGCAGCGGAAGCTTGCAGGCTGGCCCGCTTCTTAAAGGGATATTTGGCCTTGGACTTGCCTGGCCCAGGATAGGATGCCATGGCTGGGGCCAAGGCTACAGCGGAGGAACCTCACCGGCTGGGGCCAAGCTCTCTTACATCCAACCCCTTCCTCCGCCCCGCCCCCAGCGGGAGTGACTGATGCAGGAAGCAGCGCCCCGCAGGCGGAAGAGGCCTTGGCCACGATTTCTGATGTTGTCTAGGCAACCTCGGGGAGTGGGGCCTCCATCCTGCCCCTTATCCCTCCCTTCCCACTCCAGTCCCTACAGTGACGTGACTGACGGTGGCTGGGGCTGGGGTGGGGGTGGGGACGCAAAGAAAACAGATGGAGCAGCGCCAGCTCGCAGCTCTGCACCACCCGCACCCCATCTCGGGAACCCTCACCCCTTGCCAAAGCTTCAAGGCAAAGAAGCCAAAGTCCAGGCTAGGCTGGTCCGGGAGAGAAAAAGAACCAGCAAGAATACAGCCTGAGCTTCTCCAGCCTCGAAACCCATTTCCTCCAGGGACGGGGCAAGCGTACTCATGAAAACCCAGAGCCTCTGGGGCAGAGCCCACACTTTCCTTCTCCATCTGACCCCAGATCTAGGGACAGCCCAGCTCAGGGAGAAGGAGGCTGCCCTGAGAATTCGAGCCCAGAGGGGAGGGGCCTGTCTTGGGAAAATTCCACTGACCGGCAGAAGCTGCCTCCGAGGAAGACAGGAAGAGTCGGAGGCAGGGTCCCGTTGAGGTCTGTGGGAAAGACCCCAGCCTCCTGCCTGTCCCTCTGCCTGCACACTCAAGGTCTGCTTCCCTACACCCTCCTAGGGTCTGCTCACACCCCCTAGCAGGACTTACCCTCCTGTCACCCAGACAAGGCACCTTTGTCCCGGGATCCCCCTAACGCCAACACACGCGCCACACGCTTACCTGAGGCCATACTGCCCGAGTCCCGAGTGGTACCAGGGAGGCTGCCTAGTCTACACAGCAGGGAAGCACGGCTGAGGAGGGGAGAGGGCCCCACGGGGGCGAAGTGGCGCCACTGGCCCCTGCACCCGCACTGAGAGGCGGGAAGGAAGGCTGTTTTCAAAATGGCCAGCTGGACGAAGGCGGACTCCCGCGGACCTCAGGAGACCCCGGTGTCGCAACCCCCAGCCCGCACTCTAGAGGAAGCAGGCCACGTGCTCCACAGAAAACCGAACCCGGAATTCGCCTAGGGTTCTTTCACTACTTTCTGGGTATCGATTAGAGATCCGAGTCCGTGGCCGGGCTGCGGGGAGTCTCGCAACAGGTGCGACCCCGCCTAAACCTTCCCGGCTGCGCGCCAACCTCGCTTGCCCCAGGCCCCGCCAATCCTGCGGCCACGCCCCGTTCGGCCACGCCTCCGGCAGTCTGGCCACACCCCCACCATTTTCCCTGTTTCCTTAACGCCACGTGGGCAGCCACCGGGCCGGGGTTGACCTTCCGTCTTGGGCGACTTCAGTGTGTCAGTTTCCTCATCAGTAAGATGAAATATGGTAATGACAGTATCTCATTCAAAGGAGTTACTGAAGACTGAATGTAAAGTCCCTTTGCACAATGCCTGGCACAAAGTCAGGAAGCTATTATTAGGGTCCCAGAATCCATTTTAAGCAGAAGCCCTGCCCTTCCATTCTCCGCATTCCCACCTGAGTCTGTTTCCTTCTATTAGCAATTGGCCTTGAAGGCCGGCTTCCTCATCCCACATTAGTTTCTATGTTGGGTGGACTAGCCAGAATGTCTAGGTTCAAATTCAAGCATCGCCACCTACTTCCTGAATGACGTTGAACTTCTCTGTGCTATTTCTGTAAAATGAGTATCTGTTCTATATGATACTGGTGAAGATAAATGAGTTAATTATAAGTGCTTAGACCTGTATCTGGCCTGTAAGTTACTACCCCTCCCCCCCATCAGTGTTCATATAACATTGTTTGACCTGGGATCCTTACTGCAACTCATTGACGTTCCTTGTGGGTTAAGTGTTTTCACAGGGCCACAGACGGCCTCCCAAACCAGCATTCCCATATTCAAGAGCCAGTCTTACTTAAAGGAAACCTGTAAGGGCAAGTCCCCTCACTGCCACTAATTGCCTTTATGAGAAGCAATTGGTCCCTTCCCTATCCTTGCCCTTGGGGGAGTCCTTTGCCACCACCCCCACACTTCATCCCTTCCCTCCTGTCCCCACCCTGAACTCTGGGTCCTGAGCCCCATTCTCTCTATATCTGAGGCGGCCTCCAGGGTGTCTCCTGTCCACCTGTCTTAAATGTCGTCGTGGGATGGGGAGACCAATCGGCAGCAACATCCCTCTGCCTTACAAGTGAGAGGCTATGCCCCCCACTGCAAAAAGACAAAAACACAAACAAGAAACCCCCTACAGTGGCCTTGGGAGGGCAGTGGGGAAATCCAGCTCACAGAGCATCAAAGACTAAAATAGAACAAGAGATACCTTGTTCTTACTTTGTTATGTTTAAATATCAAAACAGGGCCACTGAAAGCTCTCAATACAGAGAGGGTGTATTGAATACATTAGTGGCCATAAACACTAATATAATCTAAGAACCATTTGGCAAAATATAATCAAGGGTCTCAAGTTTTATTGTTTTGACCCAGTAATCCACTCCTAACAAGTCTTTTTTTTTTTAAGATCAAAAAATGATTTTATTGGTGTTTAAAGGGAAAGCCCAGGGCACGTAGCTTGTGACTCTCAGCAGATGCCTGGAAGACGTTTTTAAAAGAGAAAGAAAGAAGTTGTATCTTTCTCAATCAGAACTCAGGAGGATGGGCAGACCCAGCAGCTTCTAGGGATTTCTTCAAGGGATGGGAATTACAAAACTGTTCTTTTAAAAAAGAGTTATCTGAGCCTGGGCAGTCCCAGAACTCAGGAGGCAGAACCAGCAAGATCTGAGTTTGGTGCCAGAGGTCAGCCTGGTCTACAGAGTGAGTTCCAGGACAGCCAGCTATACACAGAGAAACCCTATCTCAAAAAACCAAACCAATACTAATAATAAAAATAAAGGGTTGTCTGAAAAATATCCACAAAGTTGTTCAATATTGCAATGTTTACCAGAGAAAATTTGGAAACATAAAGGCCCAACAACAGGGGAATGATTTTGTTTGTTTGGTCAGTTTTTGGTTTTCCAAGACAGGATTTCTCTGTGTAGCCCTGGCTGTTTTGAAATTCTGTGCAAGCTGCCTCAAGCCACCACCTCCCAGCTAAACAGAGGAATGTTCCAACGAATGCAATGAAATACAGCCATTAATACTATTCTTGGAGGATTTCTTTAATCATGTGAAAGTGTTTATAGCATAAAGTTAGGTGAAAGGATGTGTGCAGAGAACTACACAAATAAAGTGGTCCTAATTGTGATACATGTGATATATACACGGAAAAGAAACACAGAAAGTTACAGTATAATCAAGAGAATGAAAACCAACAAAAATCCTGCAGGACTCTCGAATCACCTGCAATATTCCCCAGACTTAGAAAGTGAGGTATTCTGAATATGGCCCTTAGACACTGTGAGAATGATGGCTTCCAATAGTGAACAAAATAAATCCCAAAATTAGTCAAGTACCATGTGACCATATAGATGCTCATTTATATTCTGGTAAGATGCAAATTTTGACATAATTTTAAGGGTCACAGCCTTCACTGTGTGAGGACTATATCCAGACCTAACTATCTCCCCAGCCAATAGGTGGCAATCCTGTTCTCCACCCAACCCAGGCAAACCAGTTCATGAATGCCTCCATCTTGAAGTCCTACCAGCAACAACACACCCTTCACTATAGAACTCTCCCCCACCCACTTACTTCCAGGTTACGTGGTCTCTAGTGATTGTTGGGAAGTCCACCCTGCTTCCAGCTAAACATCAGTGTCTCACCTACTCAACACAGGCAAAATTTCAGTGGGGCTTCATGTCTATGCAGAGTAGAGACTGGTGAATGAAGGAATAGGTCATGTGTGGCCTTGGACTTTCTAGTATTGAAGCCTTAACGCTGCTTCAGTCTCTGGGACGTCCCAGCCTCTAAACATAGCTTCCTCCTCCTAACCAATTTACATCATGGCTTCTCAGCTGGACATTCCTGCTTTTCTAACCTTCGGCTCCCTGGTGATGTCAGTCTGACTAGGAACATACCTCTACTAGCAGATGTTGGACTTGGGAGAAAACAGCTGAATCGTCCCAGGGATACTGGCCCAGGGCAATTCCCTAAGCCCCCATCCTATTCCCAGACCTTTCTAGAATCAAGCTTGACCCAGCATCAACTCTTCTTACTCCCTCACGTCAGTCACCCAACACTGCATTAACAGCACCATGCAGTCGTCTCTGTGATGGTCTGCAGGTCAGGTGCCCGCCTGTCGTTCAAAGCCCTTCACCAGCTAGTCTCAATTTCCCTTTCCTGTCCTCATCTCCCAGCCCTCCCGTCCTTTCGTGTCCTGTCACATCAAGCTTTGCAGTCTCCCTAAGTCCACATTTACCTCCCATCTTTTCTCTTTCATCCTTTCCTCTCCCTAGACTCACATCCTCCATTTCTGCCCACCTGGCCCCCTGTGGAAACAGTCCATTTCACAATCACCCCTTGCTTTCAACATTAGTGTTATTAAAATGTGGTCCTTCTGTAGCACAGGCTAGCCAAGAACTCTGGGTTCTCAACTTACTGCATGCTCTGTTAAGGGCATGAGCTGCTGGCGCTCTCTCTCTCTCTCTCTCTCTCTCTCTCTCTCTCTCTCTCTCTCTCTCTCTCTCTCTCTCTCTCTCTCTCACACACACACACACACACACACACACCGTTTTTAAAAGTCACAATAGATGTGTGTATAATGGCCTCTCCTTCCAGAGGGTGGAAGCAAGGTTTTCAACAGCTCTGAATCCCCCATCATTAGCACCTGCCCTTTAATTGTTACTCCTCATGTGGACTGCAAGTTCCCAAAGGCAATTCTTCCTGTGTCAGTGTCCCACACTCCATCTGGGGCACAGCTTCTTACTAAATGTGTGGCAGATCCTGAGATCTCCTTCACTTAGCAAACATGCCCAAACTCTTCAGGAACCGGGATCGCTTTCACCCAAAATGATATGGCCATCTAGGGCTGTGAACCAAACACCTGGGTTCCATCCACACACCCTCATGCAGACGGGGGGGGGGCTGTCACTACTCTATTCTTCACTCACCTCTAAAACAGGCACTGTACTTCCTGTGCCTTCTTCACCAAGACACTGTCCCTGAATGTAATAATCAAATGTGACAACCAGGGAAGGCAGGGGGTCTGAGAGTCTCTCAGCTCAAGTGTGAGAGTGGAGCGTTTCCTCCTATGGCTACAGATCAAGCAGAGGCAGCACCCGAGTCTGTAGCAACAGCCGCTGGGACAAGAAAGGGTGCAAGTGTCTCCCCGTGTGTGAGTCCAGCTGGGGGTTCCTCTCAAGCACAGGCCTCCTGTCTGCGGTTTCCCCATTTGCTCAATGGTTTGGTTCTTTTTCTCACCCAGTGGGATGGGTTAGGAAAAGGAAGACTATTGGCTTCTCTATTTACTAAACCATGGGACCTGAAATAAGCTGCAAAGCCACCTTCAGCAAAGGCACAGAAACGGTCGGGCACAACCCTCTGCTGTCCCTTCCTGTGAACAGTTCGGTCTTGAGCACAGGTCTGGTCATGATGTGAGTTACCAGGGCAGGGCAGCGCTGGTGGTATAATTACTGGAGCCTCCTGGCTAGGATTCCAAAAACAGTCACAATTTCAGAGACTCCTGTTTGCCCTTAAGTCACTCAGCAGTTGCCAATCTTCGCCAGGCACCTCAGCAGCTGTTTCTCCTCAGTCTGGAAGGTGGGCAAAGGAGGA